CACACACACACACACACACACACACACACACACACACACACACACACAGCCTACCCTACTCCCTGCCTCCTGTGAGTCACATGAAAGAAGGCAGCAAATAAATGTACAGTAAAGATGTAACTCCTTTAATAAAGAAAGATTACTGATTTTCAGGCAAATATAATAACTATTCATTTGCTTTTCATATTTCTGACTATCTACTATGTGACCCTGCGCATATGCATATGAATGTTATTACGTGCAGTGAATGAGGTTCTACCTTTCCTTCTAATGGGTGTCAGGGAATGGGGTGGAAGAGAAACAGACAATGAATTATTAAATAAATAAATAAACAAAGTCACTTTGGATAGTAATGAGTGCTACGAAAATTAAAAAAAACAAAACAGGATGGGACTTCCCTGGTGCCGCAGTGGTTTAAAATCCGCCTACCAATGCAGGGGACATGGGTTCGATCCCTGGTCCGGGAAGATCCCACATGCCACAAAGCAACTAAGCCCGTGTGCCACAACTACCGAGCCTGCTCTCTAGAGCCCGCAAGCCACAACTACTGAGCCTGTGTGCCATAGCTACTGAAGCCTGTGTGCCTAGAGCCTGTGCTCAACAAGAGAAGCCACCACAATGAGAAGCCCGTGTACCGCAAGGAAGAGTAGCCCCCTCTCGTCGCAACTAGAGAAAGCCTGCGCACAGCAACGAAAACCCAATGCAGCCAAAAATAAAATTATTTAACAACAACAACAAAACAGGGTAATATGATTAGTAAGTGACTGCATGGGGCATGAGAACAGCCTTTATGAATGACAAGGAACCATTTTGAGAAGATCAAAGCAAAGAGATTTCCAGTTGATGTCAATACAGGTGCAAAGAACAAGAGGAAAGAATGCACTTAATGTGTTGGAGGAATACAAAGAAGGCCAGTGTGGCCAAGGCAGCATGAGTGAGGAGGAGTATAATAAATAAGATTGGAGTGGTAGAGTAGAGCCGGCTCAGGTGTGACTCTGCAGCTTCCTATATAAAATGTTTTCGGTGCAGTAAAACTGTTCCATATGATACTAAAATTATGGATACATGTCATTATAGGTTTGTCAAAACCCATAAAATGTACAACACCAAGAGTGAACCCTGATGTAAACTATAGACTTTCAAAGATAACAATGTGTCAATGTAGGTTCATTAATTATAACAAGTGTACCCACTCTAGTGGGGGATGTCAGTAGTGGGGAAAGTTATGTGTGTGTAAAGACAGGGGTTATATGAGAACTCTTTGTACTTTTCCCATTCAATTTTGCAGGGAACTCAAAGCTACTCTAAAAAATAATTTTTTTTTTTTTTTAATGTTGGAGAGTATTTCCTCCTTTTCCATTTTCTGGAGGAAAAAAAAAGCTTTATTGAGCTATGGGACAACTTCAAGCAGTCAAATCTATGTGTAATTGGAGTCCGCAAAGAGGGGGACATAAAAATATGCTGAGAAAAAATGGCCCCAAATTTTCCAAATTTGATAAAAACTAGAAAATCTCAGATACAAGAAGCTCAATAAAATCCAAGCACAAGGAGCATTAAGACATCTACACCAAAAAAAAAAAAAAAAAAAAAGACATCTACACCAAGACCCATCATAATCAAATTGCTCAAAACCTGTGGTTAAGAAAAAACTCTTAAAAGTAGTCAGAGGGCTTCCCTGGTGGCGCAGTGGTTGAGAGTCCGCCTGCCAATGCAGAGGACGTGGGTTCATGCTCCGGTCCAGGAAGATTCCACGTGCTGCGGAGCAGCTGGGCCCGAGAGCCATGGCCGCTGAGCCTGCGCATCCGGATCCTGTGCTCCGTAACGGGAGAGGCCACAACAGTGAGAGGCCCGCATACCACAAAGAAAAAAAAAAGTAGTCTGAGAAAAAGTCACATTAAACCCGTGGGAACAAAGACAAAGATGACAGCTGATCTCTCTGGAAACAAAGCAAGTGAGAAGACAGTGGAGCAATGTTTAAAGGGGGAAAAACTGTCAACCTAGAATTCTATACTCAATAGAAATAATTATCAGAAATGAAGGCAAAATAAAATTATTTATATACAAAAGCTGAAAGAAGTCATCTCCAGCAGACTTGCACTACAAGAAATGTTAAAAGAAGTCCTAAAGTCAAAAGGAAATGATACTAAGATGAAAACATTGTCACAAAGGAGCTATCAATAAGTGGGTCAGAAATAATAACTACATGGATAAATATATAAACATTTTTTCTTATTATTTAAATCTCCTTAAAAAGATACTTGGTTGCTTAAACAAAAATAGTAACAATGCACCATGGCCTTCAAACATAAGTGTAAGTAAAATTTATAACAATGAAAACATAAGGCCAAGAGGGGAGAAAGGAAGTAAGGATTGAAAGGAGTGAAATGGATGTATGCTATTGTAAGTTTCTTTTGCTAAATGTAAAGTATCATAATACCACATGAAGGTAGACTATACTATAAACCCTAAAGGAACCACTAAAATAATAAAAGAGTTATAGCTAATAGGCCAACACAGGATGTAAAATGGAGCCACAAAAACATATCTAATGAATCCAAAAGGAGGCAGCAAGAGACACAAAGGACAGATGGGACAAATAGAAAACAATTAGCAAGATGATAGAATTACAAAGAAAAATAGGTAAGTTAGAGATTTTACTACTTTTCTCAATAGCTGATAGAACAAAATGGACAAGTTTTGAGAAATACTATCAATGATCTTGATGTAGTTGACATTTATAGAACACTCCATTGAACAGAGTAGACTGGGCATTATTTTAAAATGCACATGGAAGATTTACCAAAATAGACCATAAATAAGTCACAGTAAATGTGAAAGGATTCAGGTCATGCAAGGTATATTCTCTGACCACAGTGGAATTAATTAGAAAACAATAACAGAAAGACTTGGAAAATTTCCAAATATTTAGAAACTAAGTAGCTTTTTTAAAAAGTAACTTATGGTGGCTTCCCTGGTGGCTCAGTGGTTGAGAGTCCGCCTGCCGATGCAGGGGACACGGGTTCGTGCCCCGGTCCGGGAAGATCCCACATGCCGCAGAGCGGCTGGGCCCGTGAGCCATGGCTGCTGGGCCTGCTTGTCCGGAGTGTGTGCTCTGCAACGGGAGAGGCCACAACAGTGAGAGGCCCACGTACCGCAAAAAAAAAAAAAAAAAAGTAACTCATGGATCAAAGAAGAAATTACAAGGGAAATTAGAAAATATTTATGAACACAACACATATCAGAATTTGCAAAATACCACTAAATCAGTACTGAATAGCCCTATATCTATGAAAGAAATGAAATTTGTAGTTTAAAATCTTTTCACAAAACAAATTCCACGTCTAGATGGCTTTATTGGTTAGTTCCACCAAACATTTAAGAAAGAAATAATACAAATTCAATGCAAACTCATCCAGAAAATTGAAGAAGAGAAGATAGGAATACTTCCCAACACATTCTGTTTTTTTTTTTTTTTGCCGTACATGGGCCTCTCACTGTTGTGGCCTCTCCCGTTGCGGAGCACAGGCTCTGGACGCGCAGGCTCAGTGGCCATGGCTCACAGGCCTAGCCACTCCACGGCATGTGGGATCTTCCCGGACCGGGGCACGAACCCATGTCCCCTGCATCGGCAGGCGGACTGTCAATCACTGCTCCACCAAGGAATCCCCCCCAACACATTCTTGAAGGCCAGTATTACCCTTATAGCAAAACCAGAAAAAGACATTACAAGAAGAGAAAACTACAAATCAATATCACTCCTGAACCTAGATGAAAAAATTCTAAACAGAATTTAGCAAATCAAATCTAAAAATACATAAAAGAAACAGTACATTATATACAGGTGGGACTTATCCCAGGAATGCAAAGGTAGGTTTAACATTTTCAAATAAGTTAATATAATTCACCATATTAACAAACCAGAGAAAAAATGTGGTCATCTCAATAGACACAGAAAAGCATTTGACAGAATCCAACATCCATTCCTAGTAAAAATCTCTCAGCGAACTAGGAAGTGAAAGGAACTTCCTCAGCATAATAAAAGACATCCATAAAAATGCTACAACTATAATCCTACTTAATAGTGAAAGGTTCGGGCTTCCCATGGTGGCGCAGTGGTTGAGAGTCCACCTGCCATTTCAGGGGACACGAGTTCGTGCCCCGGTCCGGGAAGATCCCACATGCCGTGGAGCGGCTAGGCCCATGAGCCATGGCCGCTGAGCCTGCACGTCCGGAGCCTGTGCTCCGCAACGGGAGAGGCCACAACAGTGAGAGGCCCACGTACCGCAAAAAAAAAAAAAATAGTGAAAGGTTGAATTCTTTCCCTTTAAGATCAGAAAGAAGAGAGAAAAGATGTTCAGTCTCACCACTTCTGTTCAACATTGTACTGGAGGTTCTAGCCAGGGCAGTCAAGCAAGAAGGAGAAGTAAAAGACATCCATTTTGGAAAGGAACAAGTAGAACTGTCTTTATTTGCAGATGACATAATCATCGATGTAGAAAATCCAATGTCATCTGCAAAAAAATCTACTAGAGCAAATGGTCATAGTAGCCTTATTTGTAATATTCAAAAGCTGAAAACAATGCAAATTCCATCAGTGGGTGAATGGATAAACAAATTGTGAGAAATTCATACAAGGGAGTACTGCAATAACTTGGATGACTCTCAAAATAATTATGCTGTGTGAAAGAAGCTGGAACAAAAAACAAAGAGTATTTTTTAAAAGCCATTAAAAAAAAAAACCTGACAGTACCAAATGCTGGCAAGGATATGGAACAATTAAACTCTCATACATTGCTGGTGAGAATGCAAAATGGTACATCCACTTTGGAAAACAGTTTGGTAGTTTTTTATAAAGTTAAGCATGCGCTTACCCTAAAACTCCACAAGGCTATTCCTAGGTATTTACCCAAAAGAAATGAAACACATGCCCACACAAAAACTCTTACAGGAATGTTTATGGAAGACTTATTTATGATTGTCAAAACCTGGAAATGACTCAAAAGTCCAATTGTACAAACATATTCCAACTGCACGTGGAACATGCAATGGAAAACTACTCAACAATTAAGAGGAGCGTACTAGTAATACAAGCAGCAACATGGATCAGTCTAAAAATATGCACTTGGAAGACTACATACTGTTTGATTCCATTTATATGGCATTCTGGAAAAGGGGAAACCAAAGGGGCAAATAACAGACCAGTGGGTGCCAGGGACCAGGATGTGGGGTTAGTGGGTTGCATGCCAAGGAGCATGGAGACACTGTGAGATGTGATGGAAACAGTCTGTAGCTTGATTATGGGGGTGGTTACACACTCACATAAATTTGTTAAAATTCCTAGATTATATATCTAAAACTATGAATTTTACTTGATGTAAATTATAGCATAAGAAACAAAATAAAGCATAGAAATAGGAAGAGGATAATATAACACCACCCTAAGTAAGTTATTTTTCTTTTCAAGCAGAACATCTTTTACAATCTTAAGATTAGAATTTGGCTAAAATGAGGAAATTTTTTTCTATTATAAAATGAGAATTATGAAAGCCATTTCAAGTATTCTTACCGTTGTCACAATCTTATGTTATTGAAGACTTACAAGTCCTAATCCAGACACAAAAGAGTAGAGTTGACCATAGTGGCAAATTACCCTCTTTCTAAATTGCTTTGGCTTTTCTCTGTTTTTCCTCTTTGTATATTGGCTGTCTATTATTGCATGGAAGATATGACCTGGGAATCAGAAAAATGTAATGCTGCTTTAAACTTCTGGTGTAAGGAAGGAGGAAGGCAAGAAATGAAGGAAAATAAGAAGGGGAAAAGAAAGGAAATATAATAGAAGTCTCAGCCTCGCTCTGTCTTTACTTTGGGAATTAGATGTTCATTCTTTCATGTCCTACTGGAAAGGAAAAACCAGTACTCAACTTGTATGGGAAATTGGCACTGTGGTCTTCTTCAACCCTTTTAAGTATTTTTAAGTTTCCAAGACATCTAAAGAAATGAACAAATCATTATTTAGTTTCTGGTATGAGTTTAAGTATTTCTAATTTCATGTACAAAGAAACTCTTCTAGAATGACACTTCTGCGCTTATATTTATGGTCCTCCAGCTTTCTCTTTAAGGAGTTAATGGGTACTGAACTTTGGAGTCAAATCCCAGTTCTACCACTTCTTAGCCGTGTAACCTTGGGCCACAGTTTTTCCCATGTGTAAAATGGGACGACAATACTTTTGTCCTTAGAGCTGGTGGAGGATTAAACTAAGAGCACATATTTCAGGCATTAGCACCATGTCCAGCTTAAGTGCCCAGGCACTCTGGAGGTGTCCTTGTTGTTTGCATAGGTCATGCCACATTGTATGTCTTTCCTCTGTAGGCTGTTATGGAGGGCAGTAGCCGAATAAGAACTGAAAATTACCCTGACAGCACCACTCTGGTTATTGATGTAGCAGAAAAAGATGATTCTGGTGTTTACCACATAAATCTGAAAAATGAAGCTGGGGAAGCACATGCAGCCATCACGATTAAAGTTGTGGGTAAGGCCTCTGAGTCAACAGACTTCTTGAATCAGGCTGACATGTCTAGATCCAAAGTAGACTTTGCAAGTTCTTGGTTCTCTCAGCTTTTCTGGGTAGCCAACAAAGATGCACACGGTATAGCTGTATTTCATAAATCACTGCCTTTCTTTTTTTTATCTTTGCCACTTCTTTATATGTCTTTCTTTCTCTTTTCTTTCCTTTTTCTTCCTTTTCCTTTCCTTTCCTCTCTTGTCTCTTTGCTTGCCTAGAGGACTAGTTGCGGTGAGGAGTAGCTAAGGTTAGCCTTTTGGGGTTGCTGTCATTAGCTCTCCACAGTCACACTCCCTTTCAGTGCCCTCTACAGTCACTGACACACAATTGCTAAATAATTTCCAACATCACACTCACTGTGAGGAGTAAGATCTGCCTTGGTTCTTAGACGACCATTTAAGTACATTTTTCCTGATCCTGAAATCAAGTGAAATGAGTATGGCAGATTACTGGTGGTCCAAGGTCTCATGATCTCTTCATCCCACTTTAGCTTTCCCTTAAGAAACATATTACTTTTTTTCTTCTCTCTCTCTCTCTCTCTCTTTTTTTTTTTTGGCCACGCCATGTGGCATGAGGGAACCTTAGTTCCCCTACCAGGGATCGAACCCGTACCTGCAGCAAAAGTGCAACATCCTAACCACTGGACCACCAGGGAATTCCCAAGAAACATATTTCAAATTGATCCAAAACTAAGGTCACTTTGTTATGCACTGCACTATATTTATAAGACATGGTAACTTGCCATTTTTGACTTGGATTTCTACCAGTCAACATCTTACACAACAACTGATGTAAAATGTGCAGTAATTAGTCCTTGATTCAGTTCTGCTGCAAGTTCACTTCTGTGGTTAAAAAACAAAAAAACAAAAAAACAAAATCACGTCCAACATTTAGGCAATAATTTCTTAGTCGCCACTTTCAAGGTAAATAACAAAAGTCTTGGGTTTCATACGGTCTGTAATGTGACATTAGTTTAAAGGATTTGGAGACATCATTATTTTATTTGTATTGGGCTCACCTTCCCTGATTCCATATGGAGCATGACCTTGTACCCAAATTAGTTACCCAGTGCACTTCAGTAAACATGGAAAAATAATAAGAAATAACCTTGCTTCTATGATTATCATCCAAAAACATATTTTCCAATGAACATTCTTCTTTGTGCTCTCACTCCCTCAATTTTATTTTATTTTATTTTATTCTATTCTATTTTTTGTTTGCTACAGATGTCCCTGATCCTCCAGTGGCGCCGAATGTGACACATGTGGGAGATGAGTGGTGCATCATGAACTGGGAGCCTCCTCTCTATGATGGAGGGTCCCCAATCTTAGGTAACTGCGTGTTGGTCCATCTGTGGACCTGCCAGTGGAGTTGGTGTCCTCTTTATGCACATTAGTACAAAGCACATTTTAAAATACTGCATTTAGAAGAAAACGTTTAAATATCCATTCACGTTGAAATATATTGGGGGATGCTTTATAAGTACTTGAGATTTAAATAGCTCTGATGAATATCATCTGATTGCCTGTCCTCTTTTTTTGTTTGACTTCTGTTCAATATCTAATTTTGAAACAACTATAAGTCTAACTTTATTCTGGTCAGTAAATGCCTAGATCCATAGAATTATGTCTATGAGGCAATTTCTTCTAGAGTTAAATACTTATAAGAATTTGCTTCCCCTGTGGAACAGGAACTTTCTTCTACTTGCTAATAATGAAACTCACAAAACTGGTTATTTCCTCCTTCTTACATTGCTGGGACTCAAAGCCACATCTGTTGCTCAAATAGAGTGACTATGTAAGTTTCTATGGCCTACATATCTGTGGTTTATTTTTTCTCTTTTCCTAATACAATTTTAATTTTTTCTAGTCTTATTATTTTTATCTATATCCCATGATGTTAATATTTGTATTATTTATAATCTCTCTCAAAAAAACCAATGGAATAAGATGGGTTAAAAATACATATATGACTATTTCACTTAGAGTGCTGAGAATATGGGAAATTTTTGAACATTCTAATATCTGGCAAAGTTTAATTTTGGAGACCAAGGAAAAACTTCAGTTTCCATTTTGCGTCCCCTTCAGGTTACTTCATTGAGAGGAAAAAGAAGCAAAGCTCCAGGTGGATGAGGCTGAATTTTGATCTCTGCAAAGAAACAACCTTTGAGCCCAAGAATATGATTGAAGGTGTGGCCTACGAGGTCCGCATCTTTGCCGTCAATGCCGTTGGCCTCTCCAAGCCCAGTATTCCCTCCAAACCTTTTGTTCCATTGGGTGAGTCAAGAGAGGTTTGTCTTTGTCATGAAAATCGTTGCCGCAGATTGTGACTGCTTCTTTCTGACCTCTAACTGGAGCAGACCTGGAAGCTTCTTAGAGTGATACAGGAGTAGGAGACTAGAGGTGGTTAGGGGCAATTTTCTAAGAAATTACAAACAACGCAATAGAGTTGAATGCCTTCATAATGTAGGCCCTGGAATTTATTACCAGAATTCCAAGGACAGCTGTGGGTGGCTCTGTTTGCCCCTTCCCACTGGAAACATGTAGCTGGGCCCATTGACACAAGACTCCCCCCCATTGGTCCTTCTGAAAGTATAACCCAGCACCCTGGTGTAAACACTATAACTAAAACAAATTGACATCAATTCAACCAAGCACACTTGAAAGCTAGTCTCTTTGCTTTATAGTCACACTTTAAATGTTATCTATTGAACCAAAAATGTCAGTTCAGTAAAGGCAAAGAAAGAGAAGAGAAGACGTCTCCACTATTTTCTGGCAGTGAGTAGATTTTTCAGTAGAAATATTTAGTACAAGAGTTTGCACTTTAAAATTAGAAAGTTATGGAAAATTTACTCTAGATCATTAGATCTCAAACATTGACTTTTTCAACTTCCTGGGCCTCCCAGACTCCCGTGTCAACCTCCCAAGTGGAGGGAAAGTGTGACAGCGTTGATAAAAAAATTTTCACATCTGGCAGATCTTTGCCGTAAACACAGCATATGCTCGAGGAGTCTCGTTGACTTTTATTAACACGAGGGGGCTTCCGTGTATATTTTTTATTATTTATTTATTTACTTACTTACTTATTTTTAGCTGTGTTGGGTCTTCGTTGCTGCGTGTGGGCTTTCTCTAGTTGTGGCGAGCAGGAGCTACTCTCCATTGCGGTGCACAGGCTTCTCATTGTGGTGGCTTCTCTTGTTGCAGAGCACAGGCTCTAGGCATGTGGGCTTCAGTAGTTGTGGCTCGTGGGCTCTAGAGCACAGGCTCAGTAGTTGTGGCTCACGGGCTTAGTTGCTCAGCGGCATGTGGGATCTTCCCGGACCAGGGCTCGAACCCATGTCCCCTGCATTGGCAGGCGTATTCTTAATCACTGTGCCACCAGGGAAGTCCCTGTGTATATTTTTATTTGTATCCTGGTTCATTTTATCACAGTTCCTGTGCCATAATTCTGTACTTAATAATTTCTTCTTTTTCTGTCTCTTTTATCTCTGAAGCTGTAACCAGCCCACCTACTCTTTTGGCTGTTGACTCTGTAACTGACACCACTGTCACAATGAAGTGGCGGCCCCCCGACCAGATTGGTGCAGCAGGTTTAGATGGCTATGTGCTAGAGTATTGCTTTGAAGGAAGTAAGTACAGCTAGTAGTTCAAACGAATACCATCATCAATAGGTGAGATATGCCCCCCTTTTGGTGCTCTTTCTTGGGTACTCATCTCCTTTCTACTGAAAATGACAACAAGCCAAAGGTCATCCTTCTATGATGGATGAGAATTTAGCCCTTCTTTGTTACTTGACTAACCAATTGAGATCTCAAAAATATCCCAGGTAGGCTCCCAGATCCGACAACATGAGTGATCTAGGACATAGGAGGAGAGATTCTGATCAAACTTCAGGGACTCCCACCTCTTGAATTGGTGGAATTAAAATGTACCACAGCAAAATAAAATTCTAGGTAGGATAAAGCAAGTTGGAAATTCTAAACGCTATACTGAGCAGAGGTCAGCTATCAACAGAGCTGCCTATTTCTGGGTAATAGAGATTATATACTTGACTCTCTGGTGATCAATTCTGCCTTCTTAAAGGGAAAAAAAAGAATAATTAAGGACAACTTTCAGTGTTTAAAAGAATCAACATTAAATCCCAGAGGGTGTAAGAAATAGATTCAACATTATGGCAGTAACTTGTCTCAGGATATGGGTGCATAAAAATTTAATGGCTTAAATTTAGGAGGGGAAGAGAAATAGGCAAAAAGAAAAAAAAACCTTGTTGATAGAAATAATAGAAAAAGAGAAAATGACACAAGAAAAGATAGGCCAGAGTGTACCTAAAATCAAAAAAAGATGTGAAATTCACTAAAAGCCTCTTGTGTTTTTGATTTCATACTTGTCATGATTTGGAGATGGGTGAATAAAATTGCCCCAGCTCTGGACTCGGGCTGCATTCTAGGTCATGGTAGGGAAACAATCCACCAGGGAAGTTTGTTCCTTCTCCACAAATGAGAGGCCCAGACTTGGCCTCTAACTCTAAGAAAACTCTTTGGACCCCAAACTTTAACGTGGATCTTACGTGAAGGAAAGAGAGACTCCAGAGCACATTTGGGAAACCAGGAGTGTGAACACTTCCCCAGAAGGAAAACCTCTATGGAGAAGAAATTTCTAACTATGAAGAGAAAACTGCTAAAGAAGAAGCCCCAGGCTTCTGGACGGGGGCACGCATAGAAATAACCAGTGTTGGTCGGGAGAGCAGAGAGAAAGGGAGAATAAAGCATCTTGGTAACACTCAGTTCCGTTCACATGCACTCACTCACAGAACACTATTGTTGATTTTTCCAGGGCTTAGAAAGCCACTAACCAAAACCAGTGGAGACATTATAATCTTGAGTACTTTGGACTATGGTTTATTCCCATTCCATTCCCCTCCCCCAATTTTGAAAAACTCCCAAGCCCTCCTCTCTGTTATTTATACCGCCCAGCTAGCAGAACTTTCCAATCTTCTGTGTGATGAATACAAACCTTTTGTGTATGTATGAAACAGAGCAAATTGTTTACTCTTTTCTTTCTGATAGGTTTAAAAAGTAAGAAGATACAGCAAAATGATAGATGGCTGTCATTTTGATGTTACCCACCTTAGATAAAATGCAACGAAGTGTATTTTACATAATTCTGTGTGTTGTCTGTGTAGATATATATGTATACCCGCATATACATATATATATGTACACAGTCATTATTATGTATATATTTTGCCACATAACGTTTTGGAATTAGCTTTCTATGGAAGTTCTTTTATAACGTGTATATCTTTCTTCTTGCAGTCTTTTCTTACTTCCTTTATGTGGCTGCCCTATTCTTCATTCTCTTTTAATGGCTGTTGTCCTCCAGACTAATTTTCTGTAGTGTTTAATGCTTTTAGATATGGCAGGTTTTATTCTGTAAGATAATTCTTTCTTTCATAAGGTCGTGTGTTGGTTTGGACTCTGTCTTTCTCCTGGTGTTTATTTCACTGTTTAATCCCTGCACCATTTTACTCTTTTTCCTTAAAAATTCTCCTCATGTGTTAAATAACTTCCACATTCCCTTCCCATCCCCTGGACACCGTTTTCTTTCTCTCTTTCCC